AGGGGCAATCTGAAGAGGAGCTGGAGGTGGTGGTACTGCTGGAGCTTGCAAAGCAGTGGTTGGAGGTGGAGGTGGGGGAGGTACTGGTGGAGGAGGAGTTGAAGTCATTGAAGCTCTTAATGAGGAAGTTGACAAGGCAGATGGGAGAGGTGGTGGAGGAGGTGGGGGAGTGGGGCTCACAAACACAGGTGTTCTGCCTGTAGCTGGAGACTGAGGACGATTTTCTATCAAACCTGTAGCAGAACTGAAATGATAAAGAGATCCTAGCAAGTTATTAAGACAGAAAACCTAGCCACAAAAACCATAAATGACTATCAGTAAGTAAATCACAAAAGATCCATTTATCTGTTCCTTACACAAATTTAAATTCTCAACAGTGTTTAGAAAGAAATGAGAACTAAAAGTACATCAACAAAAAAAATTAATAAGTGGTGCTTTGGTTTGTAATATTCTAAATAATCTCATTCTCTCAAGCAACCTTCATATCCACTCAGACATTTACTTTGATAAATAAAATACCCAGTTCTACACTGTGATATGAGTTTCTGTAATGACTCAATAGTTATTGCAATATTTGTAGCAATACTTGTGACCAATACAATGCTGTATTTACACTAAAACTATTAAAACTCACCATATGTCATTTTAGATAACTCAAAGACAGCTAATTACAATCCACAAAGGGGAATTTACAGCTCTTTCTTCCTGAATATGAAACATCAAGTGAGTCGGTAAAAGTTTTAACTGAAAATCAGAAATCTGACCTCTATCTATTAGAAAATTTGTCTAGTAGAGAATATTTCTCTATTGAAAATTTGTAATTGGAATAACTAAGATTAAGCTTCAGAACAGTTTTACTGAAATATTATTATAAGTGACTGTCAATTCTCTCTGAAATTCTTAAAGTACTTTCCTTAATATCAAATTAACATCCACAACCACACATCTTTGGTTCTCATTTCTTAGTCCCTTAACACATTCCAAAAATTCTTAACTTTTCTTACTACAATGCATATCAGCTTGATAACAAAGCTATGATAAAATGAAACACACTTTAATCTTTAAAGTAAAGTTTTATTAGCCAGGAGAATGTGCCAGCTCTAGTGAGAGAATGGCAAATCACATCCCATAGGTCAAATCTGACTACTCCTTAATACAGTTTTACTGAAACACAGACATAACCATTTGTTTATGTACAGTCTATGTCTGCTTTCATGCAACCATAAGCAGAAACTGTATCTCCAGAAAACCAAAAACATTTATTATCTGGTATTCTTTTTTTTTTTTTTTTTGGAGACAGAGCCTCAAGCTGTCCCCCTGGGTAGAGTGCTATGGCATCATGGCTCACGGCAACCTCCAACTCCTGGGCTCAAGCGAGTCTCCTGCCTCAGCCTCCCAAGTAGCTGGGACCATAGATGCCCGCCACAACACCTGGCTATTTTTTTTTTGGTTGGAGCCATCACTGTTGTTCCGCAGGCCTGGGCTAGATTCAAACCCGCCACCTTAGGTGTATGTGGCTGGCGCTTTAGGCACTTGAGCCACAAGTGCCGAGCTGTACTACTATCTGGTATTCTAAAGGAAAGATCTACTAATACAAAACATCACATGCCTGTCCCAACATACCTGATACAGGTGGGTATGGGTTTCGCATCTCCTGCTCCATGCATCGGTGGAGGCGGAGGTGGCTCGTGTGGTCTGACTAAGACCCTTTCCTCAGCTCTAGTCAGAAGCTCACTCATCTGACTAAATGGCAAGGCAGAAAGTGAGTAAGATCCATCCATATGATCCACATACGTCTGAGGTCTAGAAGAAATATATAGTATCAGTGTATTTTTCTTGAATAACTAGAGGACCAAAGTGTTCTGCATGAAATAATATTTAAAATTTATCTGTTGAATGGCAATATTTTAACTATTTATAAGAAAAATTTCTGAAATTACATTGATCTTACTTTTAAAACAAAGAATGCTATTTATTTGCTGCTTTAGGTTATGATGATCCCATCAGTTATTTTATCATTTTGGGAAAGAATAACAACTCATTTCACACAGATGAAAAATATTTCATATAAATTTTATAGCAAATTGTGTCTGCCTTTATTTCATTTTTTCTTTATAAGAAGATGACAGTGACAGAAAGGCCGACTATGAAAACTGGAATTTTCCACTACTAGGATATCTTGTTGCTCTCTTAAACCTAAGTGACTGAAAAGTCTTGCACCACTTGGTATTAGCACCACAGAGATGGCTAATGATATTGTTTCTATCCTTTTGGTGTTTTCAAAAGTGCTAGGGTACTCAAAAAATACCTAAGCAACATAGTAGCACGTTATGACTTAGATCGAAGTCTTAGATAACTTAGGTTAAAGCAAAATTTTAAATACCTTGAGCTTGCAAAGGTTTATAAATAATAAATGTACTTATCTATTACAGTGATTCTGAGGATAAAGTTAGGTTTAACACATGTATGCAGAATAAATCAGAAATTACTGTATTTACTGCTACTGTGTTTCCCTGAAAATAAGACACTGTCTTATATTTATTTTTTCTCAAGAAGACACACTAGGGCTTATTTTCAGGGGATGTCTTCCTCTCAGCACCGAAATGCATGGCATGGCTATGTAATGTATCTGCATAGCCACGCCCATCACTAGGTCTTATTATCGTGGTAGGGCGTATATTTAACAAATGCATAGAAATCCTGCTAGGGCTTACTTTGGGGGTAGGTCTTCTTTTCGGGGAAACACAGTAGTGGGTTGCTAAGTACCTTAATTACTTAAGTATAGTAGAAATAAATGCTTAACTACAAATTCCTAACATTTTTATTCTCAATTGTTTTGGTTTTTCTCTTTCAATAATATAAATAGTACCTCTCAGATGAATACTTTTTCTATAATAGGTCAAGATATATTACACACTTATGACACAATAAGTTACAGATATTATTCAAAATCTATATGACTATACCCAAATAAATATCTTCACAGAGAGATACCAGTATAATATGATTGCTATGGTGGCATGCTACTTAGGACTCTTGGCCACTGAGAAAGGAAAATGACCTATTTTGTATTTTCACAGAAGGGTCTGAGTAATTTTCTTTGAAAGCCCTAATATATGTATGTATAAGGGGAAGGATGTGGTAAAGCAAGTAAGCCAGGAGGAAAAGAAGGAACAAAATAGAAGCCCTTCTCAACTCCTAGTTTACATGCAACAAATCAGTAATACTTAAAAAAAAATTCCAGACCCATAATAGAGACCCTCCTTTGTTATGAAATTCTAGGGGACTCTGCAAAATATTGAAAGGGAGTTGAGACTTTCTGAAAGTCAAAACAATGATGATAATCTAGTCTAACCATCTCTTTCTATTGATGACAAAACTAAGGTTGAGGTATAAAAATGTCCTACACGAGACAGTAGGCTCACAGTAGTTGGGAGTTTGAAATCATAACAAGGTCTGCCAGTTCAACAGTTTAAGACCTAAGACTTAGAAGTACAGGTGCTATAAATAAAGCCAATATTTTATCATTAATTTTTAAAACAACAAAAGAAACGAAACCTTGTTTCAAAATGAGAGGCTGGGCCATTAGCAACTTCAATATGTTTATGTAAGAGATTAGCATCATCTTCAGCCAGCTCTGGACCCTGGGCCAGCTTCTGCCATTCTCTCCGCCTGTCGTGAGGTGCTCTTGGCACTTTTTCTGGTTCATGAGGACGATCTAGATTTTTCTGCTATAACAGATGTATTGAAACAAAGCCAAATGCTAAAGTGCTAATTTTTTAAAAAGAGGTTATAACAATCAAAATAAAAGTCTAACATCAACAATGTCATCATAATATAGTAAAAGTAACACAAACACAGTTCACTTGTACATTTAGAGTTAAATCTTAGCTAGTGTGCTATAATCTCAGTTTCTTGTTACATGTTTAATCCCTAATTTGATTTGATGCATTATATATAAAATAGTATATCTAAATAATAAAATTTGAGTCCTTTCAGATGAAAAAAAAAATTCACCAACCCTTCAGATGAAAAAGAAATTCACCATGGTTTGAAATTTCTACCATGAATGGCACTAACACTAACCAAACATAACTAAGGTCATGCCATCCAGTTAGCTAGAAAACATATTAGAAAAATCTAATTACCCACAATAATGATGTCTCTCAATAGGAAAAACAGTCTTTAAACAATAAAATAAAAAATGATTCAAATAGGAGGCAAAAGCATAGAAATGTCTAGAGTAGATATAAAAATTCAAATGCCAAAAGGTCCAAGCAGATACAATACTTGAATAAAGGCAAGCAGGTATAGGATGGGGCATGCAGTGAACTAGACAGACATGCCCATTTATGGCATTCCAGTTAAAAAAAACTTGGGGGCACACAAAGCATTATCTACTGGCAGTATCTGGGTGGCCAGTCACCAGTTTGCAAATGCTGGCTGGAGCACTGGTTTATCATCTAGCATAGATGATGATAACATGAGAGCATCATGAGGACAGAGAAGTAGAGATATAACTACAGGAGAAACAGAGGGATGATGGACATAGACTTTGCCCCCTTTATAATTCAGCCTAAATCCAACTTTGCTTCTTCCTCAGGTATTTTCTGTCACCATTAACGTGAAGTAACGCATATCCAAATGAATTTTATTAGAAAGTAGAAAATGATAATACAGAAGAAAGATAACTGAACTGGAATTTTGTGAGAATATAATGACTTTCTAAAACATTTAAGAAATATTTAGGATACTCTGTGACAAGAAAATATTAGCTTAATCTACATCACCAGTATCTGCACAATGTTCCTTTTTTCTTTCTTACCAGAATGCTCTACTCTTCCCTGGTGCACATAATTCCTATTTGTTCTTCAAGCTTCATTACAAGCTTTTTTGGAAGTGTTTAGCAGTGCTGTTTGCCAGCTAAAGCAGTTGCTACTTGGTGTACTTAAACCCCATGCAAACCTCTGCTATGGCACTTATTGTTCCATACAATAATAATTTAATTGCTCATCTGCTCCCCATTAGGCTCTATAGTTTTAAAGCCTTCAGTATTTGATTACATGAACCCAATAAAATAAAATGTCAAAGTACAGAATTAGTCAAGTTCCATACATGCAACAAAACTCAAATATACAAAACTTCAATTTTTTGAACCACTTGTAATACCTTTTGCTTCCTCTTCTCCTTCCTCTTATCCTCTGTATCTTGCAACATTTTTTCTTTCCACAGATCAAAGAAATATGAAGGGTTGGTATAAAACTTCAAACCTTCTTTACCATCATCTCTGAAATGTACAATATTAATTGAAATGCGTATTAGTAAGAGTTATAGAGCCAAGCGGAACAGAATTTTACTACAATTTTTATTCTCTTAAAAGAATAAAACACAATGTTAAAATATTGCCAAAATTAGGATATTACACCAATAGAAAATTTCTCCCAAGTCAGAAAGGAAACTAGGAAAACCAGATGTTCTTCTGAGTAGATATTAATAATTTAAAATAGAGCTGGGCAATTTTTATCCCTAAGTTCTGTGGAATACCAAATTTTCTAAAAGCCTTTTGGGAAATTCCAATAATTGTAAATGGTTCTACCAAATATAAAAGCTGATGAGACCTCATTTAGAATAGAGAAATTTTGCAGTTTTTGCCCATACTCTACTTATTGTCTTACTAAATCCAAAAGATATCATCTAATAGTCATTTTAACATTCACATTTAAATCCAATGACCTGACTTACAATTTCAAATAACTATTTGACTATCATTTTGTTCAGTAGCTATGTTGAAGATCCAAATTACCTAAATAAATAAATCGTGTGAAAAGATTCCAAAGGCTGAAAAATTCCAGATTTTATTTTAAATAGTACAAAGTTCATGAGGACGATCTAAAATAGATACTACAAATTCCTTACATAAGAAGTTAATGTATACAGATCAAGAGTAGACAAATAAGCAAAAATTGTAACATTCATTTTGTTAATAGGTTGGAATTTTGACCTCTTTTTCATTTTCTGTTCGATTAAAAGTTAAATTAAAAGGATAGTAACAACTCCCTATCTGTTCACATTAATAAGTTTGCCAGTAGCTTTTCTTAATAATATATATCAAAATAATTCCCTTGAAAGGGCCTTGTCTTTTGTATGCCAGAGCCTTAGGATCTCATCTAATGAGTAAGGCAAAGGTTTTCTAAAGATGGTGGATAGGAAGGACTCTGTGTGTTGGGTATAAGCTCAATGCAATAAAGAATGTTTGGAGATTTAGCACTTAAATAATAAGTCTGAAACAAATAATAAGCCCTCTTATTTGTTAACTTACTGACCTATAAGGAGTGAGTATATTGAGAGGTGGAGGCTGTTCACAAACATCATATGTCTCCTGTAAAGGAATAGGCAAAGTCTTGCGATCAAAAAGCTGCTGATCTTGAATTGTGGAACTTCGGAAAGCTTTTCTCATTGTTATATCTTGCAAAGACACTAAAACAAAAATCAAGAATTAATTTTATTTTATTAGGAGGATTTAACATAAGAACAAATTATTATACTGTACTGAATTTGTTTAACATTCTGCATGGCTTGAGAGGCTGTGACCTTAGTGGCTATAAACCAGAAACTTTATTTTAGATATTTTATCATTATATTTACCCTAATGATTCTGTGCCTAATTTTCCAATCAGATAGATTTTAACACAATATTTGATATCTAAGGCTCAAAAGACCCCAATGACACCTGAAATATACCTGTATTTCTCACCAAATACTTCTTTTCTTTCTCTACCTGCCAACCCGGGCCCCCACCAACTTAGATTCTCTTCTTCTATGATTTTTATTCCTCCTTTTTTTCAGTAATTCTAAAAAGAATTACTTATTAGTGGCCTTCTGGGCTAAACACAACATTGACCTCTACACTGTATGTACTATAAATAATACACTTGTACTATAAATTTAAAACAAATTTTACTATAAAGAAAATATTTTCAGGTCGTGGGTGATCTATATTATTATCTATTTCACTAATCTTTTATCGGTACTGTAAGAATTTCTGCCTAACTATAAGCTTTTGAAGACTGAAACTTACACATTAGTAATTCCCAGCAACTATCATAACCTCATCACATATGTATTTACACAATTTAAAAATAAATTTTTATTCATTTTCTTGTGGACTGTGCATGTTATTAATAACATACAAAATGTACCAAAATACAGCATTCTTAAACTTACAGAATGATTTTGTGATATTAAAAAGTTAGGTAATTTCTTATATATTTAATATGGCCTTAAATATACAAATGCTCTCTACCGCATAAGGTTCGTACTGAACAGTCATAGTCATTCTTATTCTTCTCCCTAAAATATCTCTATCACCTTCACATACACACAATATACTCAATATGAACATTTGGACCTATAGGACCAGTGGAGCAATGAGGCTGTCTTTGCAACTGACATACCATCACTGCATTTCCAGCAATCCCCTTGCTGCATGATTTGTGACAAAACATCAGAGAAGAGTTTTTCCCTACTATCACTAAAAAGTGCTATGAGAGATTCAGTATTTAATGAGTACCTATTATATGTGCTAGATGTTTTCACTAATTTTTATTTTAAATCTTTACAAGGATTCACCAAGCCAGGGATTACTATTCCATTTAAAAATAATATAAGAAAGCCAAGGCCAGGAAATTTATAACTGGCCAAAGTTAAACAGTTAATTAGCAGGAAAGCCAGAAAAGAAAAAAGCTCAGTTCTGTCTGCCTTTGAGGCTAATCCTTTTGCCACAATACCACACACACTGTTCTTAGGCTCCTATCAGAAGTGACCTGTGTTTTATGCAGTCAACATGGATCAACTCTTGCCATTTGTCCACCTCCCCCTTATTAGTTCAAAGTATGAACTAAGAAGAAATCTATAGTGTTTAATTTCTTAAAACTTTCTGGCAAAGTGCAGGATGGACATAAAGTTCATGTGCAATTTAAAGTAGTTTAACATAGTAAGTTGCATATGAACTTTGTCTACTTTGTATATAAAAAAACATGTAAAGTAATAAGAATGATATAGTACTGTTCTACCTTCACCTGCTCTCATTTGTCATTTACCTTATTGTTAACAGACCACTGTTTGTCAACAATAACATCTGATATTATTTAATCAATACCACAATGTAATTTAGCATTGTTCTTTTTTTTTTCTTGTAGAGACAGAGTCTCACTTTATCCCCCTCCGTAGAGTGCCATGGCATCACACAGCTCACAGCAACCTCCAACTCCCGGGCTTAAGTGATTCTCTTGCCTCAGCCTCCTGAGTAGCTGGACTACAGGCATCCACCACAACGCCCAGCTATTTTTTTGTTGTAGTTTGGCCAGGGCCAGGTTTAAACCCACCACCCTCAGTATATGGGGCTGGAGCCCTACCCACTGAGCCACAGGTGCTGTCCTGTAATTTAGCATTATAATAATAGTATTATTTTGTTTGAACTCCCTGAGTTTCAAGGCCTAGGTTAAACAACTGAAAATTCCTTCTCTAAAACATCCCTGAACAACTTCAAATTAAGTAGTTCAGCTTTTAGACTTGAATTCTTCCCCACTGCTACATATATTTCTAAAAGAAACTATGTACAATTCTGATGGTACAGTTGTTGATAAATTAACACTTATTTTTTAATACGGATGCTTTAAGTTATTTATTAGTGTCTGTATTTTGACTTTTAAGTTTAATGGTGGTGCTAAGACACCTGTTAAAATTTAAAATTTAATAGTATTTTGAAACTGTTAATTGCTAAATGTTAATTTTTATTTTTGTTATATATGAGAACTATCTGTGTATTTCTATATCATAAGATGAGTACACTTATAACTTAAATACTTCAGTTATCTAAAAGAGAAATTTTGGCTATAAATTATATATTTGAATATATGGCCATAAAATATTTTTCCTACCACCAGCCAATGTTTTTATTTCAAGAATTTCATAAAGTATAACTAATAAACATGGACATGCTTTAATGGAGACCATCAAGAAAGGCAATTCACAGAACAGGAGAAAATATTTCTAAATCATGTATCTGATAAAGAATTTGGATCCAGAATATATATATATATATAATTCTTACAACTCAACAAAAAAAAGACAAATAATCCAATTTAAAAATGGACAAAGGAGGGCGGTGCCTGTAGCTCAAAGTAGCAAGGCATCAGCCCCATATGCCGGAGGTGGCGGGTTCAAACCCAGCCCTGGCCAAAAACTGCAAAAAAAAATGAACAAAGAACTAAATAGACAGTTTTTTCCAAAGAAGATACACAAATGGCCTATAAGTATTATGAAGACACTCAATACCCTTACTTATCAGAGAAACATTAACAAGCCTGTTACAACATGAATGAACCTGAGGCCCACAGCTGCATGCTAATTTTCTGAGAATATTTTTTTGCTTATCTGTGGTGTTGGATATCATGGAAAGTATGCATGGACCTTTTCTTGCTAATCAGCTTTCATTAGTGTTTGTATATTTAATGTGTAGCCCCCAACAACTCTTATTCTTCCAATGTGTGGCAGAAATGAAAAAAGGCTGGATACCGAATAGTTAAGTGAAAGAATCCAACCACAAAAGACTATGTATTGTATATCTGTTCCTATGAAATGTCCAGAATAGGCCAATCCACACAGATCGACAGCAGATCAGTGACTGAGGGGCCTGAGGGGAACGAGAAATGGAGAGTGACTGTTAATGAGTACAGGGCTTCTCGGAGTGACAAAAATGTTCTAGAATTGACCATGATGTCAGCGGCATTAACTGCTGAATGTACTAAAAAACAATTAATTGTACACCTCAACTTTATATGAACAAACTGCAAAGGGTTTGAAATATATCTTAATAAAGTTTTAATGTTTCTATAAAAAGTACTGTTCTTTTTCCTTGTATTCAGAGCTATAAGTTTTTTTTTCCTTTTTTGATTAAGTCATATATACATAGATCATGAATACATTTATGCATTTGTGGGATTCAATGTGTTGATTATTTGTACAAATTGGAGTGCTTACATCCTACTAATTCACATAGCTTTCACCTCATTTACTTTTAAGTTTTTATCTTTGCAAGCAATAGAAACTTAGTATGGTACTTGCCTCTCTTTATTAACACATTAAATCAGATTATTTCAAAAGTAAATAACTAACACATTTATCATTACACTACACTTTTCATTTTTTATAGGGATATCCTTTTTTTATTGTTCAAATTTAGGTCTATTATGTAACTTATACTAAACATTATTCAACAAAAGTATTTTGTAGAAAGGGTTATAAGAGATTTACATTAAATAATTCTCTGCGGTGGATAAGAGAAAATAACAATGTTCTTTGCAGTTTCAATTCTTTTGTTAAAAGAAAGAAAAAGAGACACCTGGGAAACATCAACATTCAATGTGTAGTGCCAAGGTATGATTCGTACCTTTGCCCCTAGAGTTTCCACTATTATTTTAGCCCATAGTGTGGTTTTTCATCTGATACCCCTGATTCAATAATTTGGTATAGAAAATTTCTGCCCCAAATACTAGTAATTTGTTTTTAAAATGTTCATTTAAAGTAGAAAGTAGCATTCAATTAACTAACTAACTAGACTTTAGCAAAATGTACATACAAAAGCATATTAAAAGAAATTACATTCTTACCGACTCGAACCTAAAGATTTGGGGTAATTTTAAAATAATTTTATTTCTAAGACAGAAGTATACAAATAAATTAAAAGGGAGAAAGGAGAAAGAGAATCAGAGAAAAAAACTACAGTTACTATGTCTTATTTATGTCAAAACATTAAAGCTGTGTAGTGTACAAAAAGAAGAAATAAAGAGTAGGGAAGAAAAGCCAGAAGAGTCATACTGATGGCTCTTATAATTTACAGATTTATTAAACATGTACACCAAAGGACATGAGTAAAAAGATGTGTGTAAATTCATGGTTAATACTGTTCTTAAATATATCACTCATCTAACTTAAAATATGTATGCAGAAGAAACACAATATAAATAAACTTACATTCTTCTTCCTTAGGATCAAGCTGTGTAACACTAACAGATAAACGGTCAACACGTTCTTGCAATGAGTTAACTCTGAAGGAAAAACTATGTGCTTCATTGAATAATTCTCCAAATATATCTTCAGCATATTTACCTAAGCACAAACAAGACATACACCATAAAATTTAAATGTGATCAGAAATAAACACTGAATGATATAACATTTAAAAATGGTGCCCTGTTCAATTTGGCATTTTTTGAAACTACAGTTGACCTGTGAACAACACAGGGTTGAACTGGGCTGTTCCACTTATATACGTGGACTTTTTTCAATGAACATATTGGAAAAATTATTTGAGATTTGTGGCAATTTGGAAAAACTTGCAGATGAATCACAAGCCTAGAAATATAACAAAAAGAATAAAAAGTTAAATATGTCATGAATGTATAAAATATATGTAGATACTAGTCTACTTTATCATTTACTACCACAAAATATACACAAATCTATTATAAAAAGTTAAAATTAACTGAAATTATGCATACAAATACTTGGCTATACTTGGTGCCATGGTCAATAAAAATGTAAACAAAAGTCAAGATCTAGTATTAAATCATAACTGAATAAAATTATAAACTATACTAATGTGCTAATTTCATAGGCAACTTCTACTAGTATCACAGTGAGCTCAAATGTTATTGCCACTATCCACTTAAATGCTGTGTGAGCAGTTCCTCTCTCTAGTAAGTTGAGTATCACAGTAGAAAGTATGGTTCTTGGACTTTTTTATTGTGTTTAGTCCAATAACATAAACCTTGAAAAATACCACAGGACCCATATCTATTGCCACTAATGATGCTAGAAGAGTTCCCAAGAAGCAGAGAAAGTCCTAACACTGTAAGAAAAGGTTAATTACTTGATAGGTACCATAGAGAGCTATAGCTGTGACTGCCTGCCATTTCAAGGTTAATGAATCCAGTGCAAGAACCACTGTGGGGGGGAAGAAACAAAAAGAGTAAAATTTGTGAAGCAGTTACTATAGCTATGCCAGTAGGCAATAAAACCTTATGGGTTTTGTGAAGTAGTTCTTTATCTTATATTGAAAATGCAGTCTTTATGCAGATGCAGGATTGCTATAAGAAAGGCACATCTATAGACCAATGAAAAAGCAAAGTTATACAACAACTTAAAACAAAAGGAAGGTGGAAGATCTAAAACTGGAGAATTTAATGCCAGCAAAGGATGGTTTGATATTTTGGAAAGCGGTTTGATGTTAAAAAAAAAAGTCAAGGTAACAGGAAAAGCAACTTCTGCCACTCAAGTGGCAGCAGATGAATTCCCAGATGCCAGTAGGAAAATCATCAAAGAGAAAGGGTATCTGCCTGAATAGAGTTTTAATTCAGGTGAAAATACTCTATTCTGGAAAGGAAATACCACAAAGTCATTCAGTAATAAGGAAAATAAGTGAGCCCCCGGATTTCAGGTAGGAAGGGCTACTCTAATTCTGCTGTTTTATGCAAAAGCAGTCGGGTTTATGATACGAACTGCATTTATATATAAAGCTGCTAACCAGAAGTTTTGAGGGCAAAAGGTAAATGCCAGCTGCCAGTTTTCTGGTTGTACAACAAGGCTTGGACAGTGAGAACCCTTTTTCTGCTTGGTTCCACATACACATTAGCCCTGAAGTCAGTGATGAACTGGCTTTTAAAGTTCTTGTGATATTAGACAATGCCCCTGGCTACCCAGAAACCCATGAGTTCAGTATCAAACGTGTCAAAGTGGACCATTTTGCCCCCAAACACATCTTTTATTCAGCTTCTAGATCAAGGAGTCATAAAAACCTTTAAGGCTCACTGTGCATGGTATTCTATGAAAAGGATTTCCAAGGCTATGGAAGAGAACTCCAATAGTACATCATGAAAGATTACACTGTTGAAGATGCCATTGTTGTTACAGAAAAAGCTAAGAAAGCCACTAAGCCCAAAACAAATTCCCCTTTCCCTTTGTCCCCTTCCCCCTACTTGAATTTAATTTTGCTTTTATCTCATGTAGGGGTGTAGTTGTTTATCTACTGGATTAATAAACTGTGGTACATGTATACCATAGAATGCAAGATTCCTTTTTTTTTTTGAGACAGAGCCTCAAGCTGTCACCCTGGATAGAGTCCCGTACCATCACAGTTCACAGCAACCTCCAACTCCTGGGCTCAAGCGAGTCTTCTGCCTCAGCCTCCCAAGTAGCTGGGACCACAGGCGCCCGCCACAACGCCTGGCTATTTTTTGGTTGCAGCCATCATTGTTGTTTGGCGGCCCGGGCTGGATTCGAACCTGCCACCTTGGTGTATGTGGCTGGCGCCTTAGCCACTTGAGCCACAGGCACCAAGCCAGAATGCAAGATTCCTAATAGACCTAGTAGATGACCTGTCTCAAGTATACTCAAAACACACATTCAAGAAATGTATAAGAGATATCTTATATTCTGTTATAATTTCTAAAAAAAAAAAATGAACAAAAAATTATCTAAAATCATTGCATTTCTTTAGTCACATAAATAAACTCTTATTACTAAAAAAGCATGAGCCAAAATAACTGGACAAAGTTCCCTGGCATTGTTGAAGTTCAAACAGAGGAAAAAAACAGACATTTAAAGAAATATGAAAAGCAATTTAATAAATAAATCCAAATCTTTGCTCTGTTCTTTGTGAGACCTTAGTATCAATATCCTCATCTGTAAAACAAGAATAAAGATATCTGTCTTAAAAAGAAGCTGTCAGAAAAAAGAGACATAGTGAGCAAAGGGTCTTGTAGTATACTGGATACAGAGGAGGAGCTCAGTAACAAGAGGCTCTTATCATAATATGAGGTAAGAGCAGCAAGGCACAGAGATAGAAGCAGCTAACTTTCAGGCATCAGATGGTGTTTAAGACACTTTCAGAGATACAGAGTTTCTCTAGTAGATAAGGAAAGCATCCCAGATGGAAGAAAAAGCAGGTAAAAGTTATTCATTTATTCAATAAATGCTGAGATACAAAGATGGAAGAGACTGTTTCATTTTAATAGCATGAACTGACTATATTCAACAAGAGAAATGCCATGAAAAGACAGAATAGTAAGAGTCCATAGATAATCGGAGGCCCAGTAGTTAAGAAATAAAATGATAAACAGGAAATTCATGTAAAGTGCAGGTTTTCAGTAATTACCATAAAATGGGGGTAAATCTCATAAAAAACTGAGATGGACACCTTTGGGAGAAAGAGGTCAGGAGGCTACATAGTGCACAGAGCCCTACAGTTTAATTTCACTGCTGTGTTCTCCCGAGTACCTTTGGTGCTAACTATAGGACAAAAGTAAAAATCTCAGTTACTATATCTAGAATCATTTTGGACAGTCAAGTTTTCTAAGTCAATCAGAGATTAATATTTAATATGTCAATTATTATTTTAACTATTTTGGATGGAAACTCATGAAATATATTCTATGCCTCTCTGTCTTCTTAAAATGAAATTTAACCTTTTCTAAAGGAGTCATGGCCATGAATTACGAAGATTAAATATTGTCCTAGGTTAGAAAACAGCTTTGCAATATATAAGAATATTTGCTTTCACATTAAATGCCCTCCTTTAGCTTTCATGTTGTATCATCCCTTCTGTCACTTCTTCATCGGCTATGAACCACCTCTTTTGCTTGGCTTCAGTGATGCCCTGGGTTATCTTCTGACTACATCTCCTCTTCTTATCCTCTGAAGCATAAATGTTTGGAAACCACATCATCAAAGCAGTTTGAATTATCAAAGTAAACAGGCTCTGAGAGAGGGATCAATTGGTTATTTTACGTGCATGTGTTCATTTATTCCAGTTATCTAGAGGCCCTTTAAATTTAATTCCAGGTTCTCAACCATGTCAAGTGGGAAACCCAACATAGGAGTTAATTTCAGGGCAGTAAACTACTGTTACACCTTGTTACAATATTTTATGGATTTTCTCTTTGTTTCTGAATCCTTATAAACTACTTAGAAAATGCCCTATTTGGTTTCTGATTCAAAATGCAAAGTACTCAAAACCGAATTTAGTTATATTTTCACAATATGTTTATATTTTCAGTTTGGCAACATAACCAAGTACCTGCTAACAGATGCTGCTTATATGGATTATATGAAGCTTGAAAACTCTGTAAATTTTCATCTTTAAGATATGTAATAAATTGGTTAATACCACGAATTAGGACCTTTAATCATGATTATAAGTTCTGGATTCTACATTGGTTACATATCTGAAACAAGATATGTATTAGATCCAAATTTCATTTTAATTTTAAGAAATAGTTTATACAAAGTTACTAATACATTTGCAGTTTTTGGCCGGGGCTGGGTTTGAACCCACTACCTCTGGCATATGTGGCCAGCACCCTACTCCTTTGAGCCACAGGCGCTGCCCCATTTTTATGCTCTTAACATGTATTTTAATATTAACATGCTGATGTATTCATATATGCTTAAAATAAATTTTATATGAAGTCATGTTATATTAGAGTCAATCAGTGCTAGATAATAAAAGTCAGTAAAATATTTTTAAACAATGTAGTTAATCACATGTTAATACAGTATCTGGGAACTATAAGATTCTTCTTTGGGCTGATTTCAAAAGTACATTCTATAATGGTTTTCCTAAGGAGAAAACAAGTAAATAATATTTTAATGATTCACTTGCTCAATAACCTGAAAAAAAAAAAAACACACAAAGGAAAAAGGAATATATTTAAATTCAAGGAATTCTTTTATTTACTTTTACAATGCAAACACTGTCACAAAGAGCATTCAAATGTAACTTTTTATGTCATTCTCCTTGCAGATGTGTATGCCCCAAATTTCTCACTTGAAACAAAGCAGATTAACAACCTCTTCTGCTAAGTATTCAATTATAAAACAAAGGGCAAAAGTAAAAAGAAAGAGAAGTCGGCTTCAGAAGAATCAAGGAGTACTTGCAAAATATACCTAGGCCAAGGACATTTGTTTTAACTTTAAAATTAAATATTTATGTCTCACTAAAAAGCTAATCCTTTAATTCAAAAGATAAACTGGATTTTTAAAAATTTTCCAATTGATTCAATTGAGAATAATGGGAAAGAATTGGTTTAATTCCTTAATCAAAAAGTTCTGTTCTGTAATCTTATAAGGGAAACAAACTTGTTTCCTTCTCTCTATTTTCTTCCCCTTCCATTGGTCTTTATTTTCTGGCCAACCCATTTGCCTTCTGTCTGCCAGAGGCCAGGTCACTTACTGTTTCCACAGCATGTTGCATTATCAGACCCCTGACTGATATCCTCATATCCCTTAGACCTATGGTCCCCAACCCCCAGGCTATAGACCGGTACCCATCTGTGGCCTGTTAAGAACTGGGCCACAGAGCAGGAGGTGAGCAGTGGGCAAGTGAGCAAAGCTTCATCGATAATTAAAGCAGCTCCCCATTGTTCACTGATTCTAAATTATGGTGAGTTGTATAATTATTTCATTATATATTACAATGTAATAATAATAGAAATAAAGTGCGCAGTAAATGTAATGCCCTTGAATCATCCCTCACCCCCAATCCATGGGAAACTTTTCTTTCATAAAACCTGTCCCTGGTACCAAAAAGGCTGGGGACTGATGCCTTAGACAACTCACTTGTCTAGTACCATCATCTGACTTACAATGACCCCACACCTGACACTTAGAACTCGGATAATATAAAAATATTTCCACGGGCTAATTAAATATATAGAGAGATACTGTTTCAAAACACAAATAGTTGAAGCCTCTAAAGAGTAAATAGTGACAAAAATCAAGCTAAAGTATAAATCTAGTCCTGCCTTACACAGATCAAATCATATTTTGAAAAACAATTTCAATAATTCTGATTCATCATGTGATTCTGTACCTAAAAATTCTGTTCCTATTCCCCTTTCTCATAAGAAAAAGAAATTATTTTACTTATAATGACTACATTTTTCAGGATAATTTTGTAGGCTTCTTCCAAATCGTTCTCCCCAAATAAATCACAAGTACATTTTCTTAATACTCTATAGCATAACTTTCTGATGTGTAATATTTTTAAATGATACTTACTCAGGCTACTTAGTTGTCTAATTATATTTGCCAAGGAAATATTGGTCACACATTCCAGTTCATTCTTAATGCCTCTAGGCAGTGCTGTGTGGCACAAGTGCCGAGGATCAATGTTTCTTTTCACTAATGGCATCTTGAGGGCAACCTTCTTTGTGCTAGTTCACCTACAGAAAATCAAAAAGTAAATTAACAATATTCAATTTTCAAGCAACACAGAGTAAGACATTATCTTTCACATTAAAGAATAAAATACAGTTTACCCTTAAAGAACATGGGTTTGAAATGCCTAGGCCCACTAATATGCAGATTTTCTTCCACCTCTGCACCCCCCAAGACAGCAAGACCAGTCTTTCCTCTTCTCCTCATCCTCAGTCTGGTCAACATGAAGAGGACAAGGATAAAGATCTTCATGATGATCCACTTCTACTTAGTGAAAGGTAAATATATTTTCTCTTCCTTATAATTTTCTTAGTAACATTTTATTTTCTCTAGCTGAATTTATACAGTATATAATACAGGATATACTACATATGACAGTATGTAAAACATATACAAAATACAGAAGGTACCAAAAAATGTATACATATTTTAAGAATGGAAAAAATTACATTAAAATTATAATACTCAAGTCACCTTTGACTTCTGCAATTACAAAAGATACAAGATACAATATTCAAGATAATAAATACTACTGGTATATATTAAGTATTGCAATTTTAGTAACTTTTTCCTTTCTTAAAATGTGTACATTCTTTTTGTACTTTCTGTATATGCTAATTGATTTTGTGCTGTTGGTAAGGCTTCTGGTCAACAGGAGACTATTACTAATTAAGTTTTGGGGGAGTCAAAAGTTACATGTGGATTTTCAACTGTGCAAGCGATTGGTACCCTTAACCCTTCCTCTGTTTAAGGGCTAAATGTATTTGCTTATATGATGACAATTAAAATGGAGTTACGCGATTAAAATAATCAAAATTGATTACCTTTGTTTTATTTTCAATTATTAGACTATCAACATTTTATAAAATATTTAAAAATTTTCCTTTTTTTTTGAGACAGAGTATCACTTTCTTGCCCTTGGTAGAGTGCTGTGGCAGCGTCACACTGCTCACAGCAACCTTCAGCTCTTGGGCTTAGTTGATTCTCTCGCCTCAGCCTCCCGAGTAACTGGGACTACAGGTGCCTACCACAATGTCTGGCTATTTTTTTTGTTGCAATTTGGCTGGGCTGGGTTTGAACCCACCACCCTCTGTATATGGGGCTGGCACCCTACTCACTGAGCCACAGGCGCTGCCCTTAAAAACTTTCCTTCAATGTCAGCTGCTACATGGTAAATTCATAACACCATCATTATTATTCTCCTTACTTGTAGTAAGTTTTCTCTTACTATGATAGGAGGTTTTGTGTGTGTCTTTCTTATTTTGTTCTTTTTGAGAAAGACTTTGAGTCTGTTGTCCCAGGCTAGAGTGCAGAGGCGTCATGGCTCACAGCAACCTCAATCTCCTGGGCTCAAGTGATCCTCCTACCTCAGCCTCCCAAGTAGCTGCTGGGACTACAGGCACTGCCACAATGCCCAACTAGTTTTTCTATTTTTTAGTAGAGACGGTCTCACTCTTGCTCAGGCTTATCTGGAACTCCCCAGCTCAAGCAATCCACCCACCTCAGCCTCCGAGAGTGCTAGGATTACAGACATGAGCCACTGCATCCAGCCAGGAGTTTTATTTTAGACAGCTGGTGTGAGAGGTGCTCCCTAAGTAAGTGACCAAAAGGATAAAGAAGCCAGGAGAATAGTATCAAATTTGCATGTCCACATAAAATGTATCAGATGTTCAACAGCTCAAATATTCCAATTTCATCAAAACCTACAAAATCTATATTTCATTGATCAAAAAGTTCAACTTTCTTTGAATTACAGGTTATCCCTACTTTGCATGTTTCCCACATGCACAAATTTCAGCCACCAAAGTTTAATTAAATAACACCAGTCCCCCAACATGGTTCAAATTTCACTTACCACAGTGTGTTAACTATAATTGCATAATTACAAATTTTGTATCTACCACTCTTGTCTACAAATAAGCATGTTAATAAGAAATGTACATCATGATCAATGACCAATAATGACTTCTTTAATCATGTCTGGATCATCCACAGACAGCAAAGCACGTGCCTGTGTTGCCTTCTTGCCTTCTGGGACTAAACCCATGTGCAATTTTACTAAATGGATAGTTGAAAGAGGAGATTGGCCAACACATACAAGTGTAGCAAACCACCCCACCCCCACCCCAGGAGCAAAATTAAATCCAATGTTAAATGGAGAGATGGAAGAAATAGCTGACTGTGGGAATGTTGTCACTGCTACTGTTTGAGAGCTTCTAGATAAGCAGTCAGAAGGACCTAGTGAAAGCAAATTTATAAACAAAGGAGAACTGTGGTTGTATCAAAGAAGGAATATGTTTCACAGGAAGTAATGCCAGCAAAAGAACAATGAAAAGCAAAACATGCCAAAAAACAACTTTAGGACATTGAAAGTGCAAAAGATATAATATTGGATGCTGATACAAATTTACAAGACAAAAGTGGTAAGAGTTTGACAAGGCACAAAAAAAGCTGCTGCTCTGCTATTTATTTAAATTAGACAAGTAGGCAAGCACTGTTCAAACTGCTCTTGATAAGTTTTATTACGAAGAAATAAAACACAATATTCTGATTGTTTTTAATGTTTTAAATTGCATTGTGCCAAATGTTTTATTTAAAAAATTTCCCTATATATTTTAACTGACTGATAAAATTTTTTAATGTTTTGACAAAAATTCTGAAAGAACATAAAACAATTGTGATTTTTCCCACTGATTAAGACCATTTTGCATAGTTTCAACTTGCATGGTCATTTTTATAGTCCCACACTACTGTGCAAAGTGAAGTACATAACAGTTACAGAAAGAAGTATATAATTTATTAATTACTAAGTTTTAATGACTACCAAATAAGAAGTTTTAGATAAATCTAATGTGTTAAAATATTACTTATCAACATGCTTTAAAATTTTTTTGTATGAAATCTGTCTCCTCTGCCCTATTTGTTCAGCTCTTACTCTACCTTTTAAATCTTTTTAAAGTGTGCAATATGAAACATACAGAAAAAAACACAAAACAAAACTGTACAATTCAATGATTTAATCACTCATGTAATCCCATATAAGAAACAAAACACTGCCTGGACCCCAGAGTCCTTCCACTTTAGTCCCCTTTCCCATCATCCTTTCTTACCTCAGTCCCAAAAGTAACCTTTACTCTTTCATAATAACCATTTCCTTGTTTTTCTTTCTATTTTTACAATTTATACAACCAACTCTATAGTTTTGATTGCTTTTTGAAGTTTATGTAAATAGAGTAATATACTACATATTTCACATTGTATTTATGAAATACATTTCATTTCATATTGTATTTGTAACATTCATCCATATTGCTTTGTGTGGATGTAGGTTGTTCATTTTAATTAATGTAGAAAATTTCACTGTATGATAACACTACAATTAAGGAACTAAAGTTAAGAATGACAAAGACACTTTATACTAGTTAAAGAAACAAAACAAAAAAAGACAACTCAATTTTAAATATATATGCACCCAACTTAAATGACCCCAGATTTATGAAACAGATTTGAAGGGTCTGAGCAATATAATATCCATAACACCATAATAGTTGGGGACTTTAACACCCCTCTAATAGAACTGGACACATCCACTAAACAGAAACTAAATAAAGATACAAAAGACACAAATGTGACCCTGAAACAAATGGGATTAATAGGCGTATACAGAACATAACCATCCCAAAGCTAAGGAATATACATTTTTCTCATTAGCTCATGGTAGGTACTCCAAAATCAACCACATCCTAGGATTCCAATCAAACCTCAGCAAAATTAAAAGAATAGAAATTATACTTTGTATCCTCTCAGACCACAAGGCAATAAAGCTGGAACTCAATTCCAACAAAAACATTCATCCCCACACAAAGACTTAGAAATTAAACAACCTTATGCTGAATGATAGTTGGGCTCAGGAAGAGATAAAAGAGGAAATCATTAAATTTCTCAAACATAACATCAATGAAGACACAAGTTATCAAAATCTGTGGGATACAGCAAAACCAGTCTTAAGAGGGAAATTTATCACATTAGATGCCTACATTTGAAAAACAAAAAGAGAACACATCAACAAACTCATTAATCATCTTACAGAACTGGAAAAAGAACAACAATCTAATCCCAAGCCCAGCAGAAGAAAAGAAATAACCAAAATTAAATCAAAGATTATAGAACTTGAAAACAAAAGAATCATTCAGAAAATTAACAGAACAAAAAGTAGGTTTTTCAAAAAAAATAAATAAAATTGATAAACTTTTGGCCAGATTAACTAGAAACAGCAAAGTAAAATCTCTAATAACCTCAATCAGAAATTATAAAGGGGTAATAACAACAAATGCCACAGAGATTCAAGAGATCATCTGTGAGTATAAGAAACTCTTATGTCCAGAAATTTGACAATGTGGAGGAAATGGATCATTACCTGGAAAAATACCCTCTCCCTAGACTTAATCTGACTGATTTAAAGAACTGAGATCAAAGAAATGATAAAAAATCTCCCAACAAAAAGTGCTCTGGTCCAGACAGCTGCACACCACAATTCTATCAAACCTTCAAAGAGGAACCTATACTCATACTGCTGAAATTCCAAAAAATTGAGAAAGAAGGAATCTTCCCCAACAAATTATGTTAAGCAAACATCACCATGACACCCAAACCAGGAAAAGACCCAACTAAAAAGGAGAATTTCAGACCAATTTCCCTA